CCTACAGTCTTACTCAATGACAACATTTACAGCACAAGTCCAGCATCATATGTCTGTGACAATAACGGAAAAAGAGATTCGTTAATGGTTTAAATTGTGTGCAGCAAAACGCAGGTTGTAGAAGCACACTACAAGTTTGTTTATTTGACGGATCAACATCATGTCACACGGGTGTATCCCATAAGTGTTCCGCTCTACCTCTAACTCAAGTCTGAGTCTGAGGTATCTCAGCGCAGTGCACGAACTTCGTTGCACCGGCGAGGAGAGCGAGGGCAGCGCTATTAGGCTACTCTTTTGTATTTTAAACTGCCAAGGGATTTTTTTAAGATGCGCAAGAATACACACGGGCGTCTGATCTTAATATCCAGAGACTAGGGGAAATTACAAGAAGTCCACGTGAAAAAATCGCAGCCTTCACCGAGGCTTGAACCCGGGGAACTCCAGCACTTAAGGTAGACATCATACTTCGAGACCACTCAGCTCCTGACACAAGTCCAGAAAGAAGTGGATGAACAACCAGAACTTTCTGCTAAAGTAAGCCGGTGAACACGAAGCAGACAAATAAAGAAAAACGTATGTAGTGTTGAAATTATCCTTATATAATACGAGAGCGGCGTCCGTGGCTAAGGCGTTGCGAGTCCGACTCGTAAGCCAGCATACCGCGATCGAAACCTGCGTGGGCTGCGTGGATTTTTATCGTGGTATGGGACGTCGTAGGTCGACCCAGCCTAAAATGGGTACCAGGATGGGCTGTCCTGGGAAAGTAAAGACAGCCGGCGTAATGCTGACCACATTACCCACCGAGTGCTGATGGTCTGTAAAAATATGGGACGCTCTGCCCATATGCCCGATGCGCCGAAAGGCGTGAAAAAAGAACTTTACTTTTTTTTTATATGATAGTAGAAAGACATACGAGCTGGTTCTTGTGATTGAACTCTACAACCTAGTTTCTCTGCAGAACGTCTAACAGCCAGCTGAGAGCGCCACACACAACACGAACTCCGTAGCCCCGGAGACGATCCATGAAGACCTCCGTAAAACAATTACACTCGTGAAGTGAAGAGCGCCGCCATGAATCGAACCGACGACTTTCAGATGCGCGAGGCTAACTGGGAAGTAAAGGCGGCTGGTGTGATGCTGAACACATCACCCACTGAGTGACCATTGGCCCATAAATATAAGCATAGCCCTATATGCCCAGTGCGCCTGAATGAGGGAAAAGGGTCCTTTAAATTATTTACTGTAACCTCCCCGTGTGGCTTCCGGAACCCCAGTTTGGAGGAAAAAAAGAATAGACCTTGTTTATCCCCTTCAAGCATGTTGTAAGAGGCAACTAATTATGGCTGTTTCCTTCGAAGTCGGAGTACATCTGCTCAGTGGCGTAGACAAAAATAAGGCGGGGGTGAGGGGCAAAGGGGGGGGGGGGTGGGGTGCAGACCTCACCGGATGTCTTCATAGAGAGCGTTGACGAAAAAAGTTTTTTTTTTAATTTTTTTTCCGGGGGATTGTGTGTGTGTGTGTGTGTGGGGGGGGGGGGTGCCAAAAAGCAAATGAAGGGCTGCACTCCCACCCACTTTAAAGGAAACAACGATAATTAGTTGCCTTTTACGTCATGCTTTTTGTGTGGTTGGGGGGGGGGGGGGGCGCGGCGGGCAGCTCTTGAGCAATGCGTGCGCTTGTTTGTGAAAGAAGGAAACGTTGAACTCGCGAGCAGTACCAACGCGATGGGACATATATCATGTAACATGTCGGGCTTTGTGGCTAAGTCGATGCGAACGTTTCGGAATGCCGGGTTCGATCCCAGCTGCGGGCCATGCGCCTTGCGTTGGTTTCGACAGTGGTATCAAGAAAGCCGACCGTCCAGTAAGCAATGGCAAACTACTGGACGTAAATTTGCCTAGAAAAACCACACAAAAGCCAGGGACTGTTGGGCTTGGTCCTGCAACGTCCTGTAAAGGATACGCAACTAACCTAACCGTGTAACATACCCCCAGTTTCTTACGTAAGTTTTCTCCCATCAATATTAACCAGAGTTCACTATCCGCACGCCGACGAGCCGAAATATATGAACACAATGAAGATATTTGGGAACTGGCCTAGAAAAAAAATATATCCCCCACAACGCCTGTATGAATACCTGAGTGAAAGCTCGGTCTTGACTGGGGTTAGTATCCATGCATTCCTCGTGGTTTTGGGATATTGTTGAAGTGGATATGTGACAATAAAGCAGGTTTCACGAGGTTCTATTCGTCACACAAATAAACGTCATAGTTAATTGAGTGAGAATCAGTCTAGGTTTCAACTACTTTGATCGTCTCCGCTCAAATCTTTCGAATTTAAGATTGCTGGCTGTTGGGAGTCGTATGCCATATTTCCAATTTTTGTGGGAACTACAATTGACATTAGCCAGCCGGTATTTGTCTTTGTCAAGGTGAAAGGACCAACGCATGCGAGTAGAGATAAGTAAGCTTCCTTTATAGAACAATTGATTTTCACATGTAAATAACCCTCTTATTTTCAGGTGTTTTTCTTGATCTTCTTTGCCCTTGCGAGGGTTGTTGGCACGTTGTGCGGTTTACAGCAAGGCTGTGATGTCTGCATGTTCGGCTCAACACACGCGCAAACCCCTATAATTTTGTTTTGTTTTTGTCAACTACATTTTCTGTAAGTGGAACAGTCCTCTTTTTTTCTTTCTTTCTTTACTCCTGGAAGGCCTTGCAGCATCACCCACCGAATGCTGATTGGTCTATAAAATATAGGCCTAGCCCTATATGCCCTGAAAGCGCGGAAAAGTCTTTCTTTTTATAGGTCCTCTAAAAATTGATGCAATGTCTGTCCTTTGCTATCATAAGCAGCTCACCCCGTCCTTTCCTACCTTTCCAACATCCCTCTAGGTTCCTTCTCTAGAGGTTTTGGTCTACATTTAGTCCTTTGAATCTGTGGGTTCCATCACATAGATATTCTAGTTATATTATCATTTTCTCAATTTGTAGCCTATACAACGCCAAGATCTTCCTCATATCTTGATTCACTCTAGGTTGTTACGAACTTCTCTCCCGAATCTTCACACTGACGATTCTATCGAACCATTTAAATCCCTCTCTTTTAAGTACAAAACAAAGGGACCAACAGGCTACACAGAGGTAATGCAAAGCGTGCGCACAAATACGATACTTTACTAACAGTCTTTATCAACTGATTACTATAGAGCGCATGTTAAATGAAGTGTGGACTCAATTGTTTGAGTATCAAATTGTTTGAGTACCGCCATTTGTGTATTACGTCATTATAACCGTTAGTTAGAATATCACTGCTATGTACCGATTTTTTTAGTCATGAATCCTAGCTATACTTGTGTTATTGAGAACAGTCTTTTTGATTAAACCTGTGTTCCTTAACGGTGGCAGGTATTCGAATATGATTGTTAAACAATTTATATTTCCTGATACTTAAGTGTCCCATCCTAATGCTGTTAGCAATTTAACCAGTAAAATCGATTGCGAGCAGAGCTGCACTGTGGCCAATACCCAAAATAGGACACACAGTACAGGTTTTATTAACTCCACAGACGGCAACAGTCTTTAAAAATGGGAGTCGCCGTGGCCGAACGGCTAGACGCTCGTCGCGGATCGGAAGGTCGTGGATTCGCTCCCTGGCGGAGCCGGACTTTTGTCAAAAATGACATTGGCTCCCCGGTCGACCCAGCCTTGAGTGGGTACCGGGTGCAGTCCCGGGAAAGTAAAGGCGGCCGGCGTGATGCTGACCCATCACCCATCTTGTGCTGACTGGTCTATAAAAATATAGGTCTAGCCCTATATGCCCTTACGCCTAAAGGCGTGGAAAAGGGTCCTTTACTTTTTTTTTAACTTTTACTTTAAAAATACACCCTGTATATACTAGAGAAACTGTTTTTAAGCTCTCTTTGTCTGTTTGGCTTTCTAGTAGTTTGTTGTAGTATTGGCTTTCTAGTAGTTTGTTGTAGTATTGGCTTTCTAGTAGTTTGTTGTAGCATTGGCTTTCTAGTAGTTTGTTGTAGCATTGGCTTTCTAGTAGTTTGTTGTAGAATTGGCTTTCTAGTAGTTTGTTGTAGTATTGGCTTTCTAGTAGTTTGTTGTAGTATATTGGCTTTCTAGTAGTTTGTTGTAGCATTGGCTTTCTAGTAGTTTGTTGCAGTATTTCATGTGGGTAAAGATGATCACAAGCACCTCACGAGAGGCAGACGAGTGGTTGAGGGACTGGGCTTTCAAGCGAGAGACTCGGGTGCGATCGTTGGTAAATAATGAAGATTGTTTCTTTCGGAGGCCATTTGCAGTTTGTGCCAACTGCGCCAACCATAAAGCCTCTAATCCTGAGACTCATCCTCGCCTTCCCTCCCCACCCCAACCCTCACCCTACGTCCTTCACCGTCATAAATCTGCTAAATACAAACACTAACGCGTTTTTGTATCTAAAACCTCATGCACAGAAATAACCATAAATTACAATTTTCAAATCTTTCCAATCACATTTAATTTTCGGTTAATTTTTTTTCATTGTTCTGTAAAGAAAAAAAAAATGGTATGACTGGCTAAGTGTATATATTTGAACAAAGACACAAATTGCCTAGTATATTTCGCTGTATCTCGTCAGGTGCATACTACAGTGACAATTACAGAAATGAAGCAAATAAGTGAATTTTCTATATGTGTTTATTATTTTATTTGCAGATTTTCTTCACGGCAAGAATCATTTGTACATCTGCTCCCAAATCCGGCTTCATGCTGTAAAGATTTTGTCGACTGCAAACCAAAGACACTCAGAGATTATATGATCTGTAATCTAGAGACTGGGAAAATCCCAAGATTTCATAGACAACTGTACGTTCGTTTCTGTGTGGAATGTACTTTTGTATGCCTTTACCGCAAGCAACACATCAAGTCTCTATTTGTTTAACCTTGTAAGGGACTCTTAAACATGTACGCCTGTGTTCTGATCCCCCGTGAGTTGAGCTTGGTGCTCAGTCTCCATCCAAACCCCACACAAGTACTGGAGATGTCGGCAGCCGTATGGAGCAACACACACCTGTCACCAGGTACCATTTTCTACCCCGACGAGGGAGAAGTCCGCCTGGACCGGATAGAGAGTAGGATACCTATACCAGATGAAGATGTAAGTACCCAGTCATTTATTTTTGTCCCCCGTGTGGGTTCCGGGGCCCCATTATGGTGAAAACAAGAATAGACTCACTGCCTCCCCAAAAGCATGTCGTAAGAGTCGACTTATTGGGGAGCTTACTTTGAAGTCGGAGTGCATCTGCCAGAGAGGCAAGGAACCAACAGTCTGTATTCAAGAGAATGATATCTGTAAAACCACACTCAACACTCAGGTTCTTGAGCAGGACTGCAGTTCACTAGTGAACGAGCAACCAGAACTTTTTGCCAGAGTGTACAGCTGGTGAAGGCGAAGAAGAAGAAAAAGATTTATTTTTGTCAAACTGTTTGTTGGGTAACTTTTTGTGTGGCTTCCTTGTCAAAGTCCATGCCATGTGGCGTTGGGAGCCATGTCTTTCTACAAGCCCTGTCTCGTGTACACCTCTGACCAGATGATTTTCCAGGCCATGCTGTAAACTGTCCAGCATCTTCCTTCTCTCGGTCTTCCTTAGCCTCTCCTACCCTCTTAACTTTCCTGCTGTTACAATGTACTCCAGTATTTCTCCTTCTCATCACATGATCAAATAATGGATACTGTCTCTTTCTGATGTGGGCAACCAGTTCTCTTCGTGAGTCAGCTTCTTTCCAGACATGCTCATTAGTCTTTTTCTCCGTCCAGATTATTCTCACCATCCGTCTAACAACCACATATCCTCAGCTTCCAAAGAATTTTTCCCTAATTTACCAACTGTCCATGATTCACGTCCACATATCAAGATTGGATGTATGTAGCTTTGAGGAAATCTCTGTCTCGTGTCAGTTGACACAGGAAGATTTTATTTTTGCAGTATCAAAGATAAATTAATGATAAATTAACACGTGACACGTTGCATGGCGGTTTTGTTTTCTTTCTTCGCGTCACCGTCTGTGAACTCCAGCGGAATGTTCTACTTGTTCATCTACTTTTGCACTATAGTCTAGTTCCAGAACCTGACTTTTTGAACATTCCTAATTAGTCAGCTCTCACCACTTGCTTGCTAAGTGCCTCTTTTCTTTTCTTTGCAATAGGAATACCTCAACTGCCCCGCCCCTTTTTCCCCAGCAACCATTTCGTAAAAGCGACACACTAGATCTCAGTTGAAATAAGATGCTCTGCTGAAATGAAATGTTTGAGCATAAAGGCAAAAGCAGCAGCAAAAGAAAAAGAGGAAGAAGTAAAAGATGAGTGTTGAACTGAGAGTCATCATACCACTCGGTACACTCCCATAAGCAGCGTCTCCATCTGCAGCAGCAAGTGGAACGTTCTATTTCTGATGGTGCCGGTAACTTTCTGATTTTATATGTCGTGCCTTTCCCTTGAGTTGTCTATCGTTGGCAAGAAGAAGAAAAAGGAGGAGGAGAAAAAAAAGTGGAAGAAGAAGAAACGAGTTGCTACAGCGATAGAATTAGAACTTCTAGGGGGAGATAAGATTAGCTTGAATCTGTCCGACTACTCCCAGTTTTCAAGGTTTTGTTGTAACCGATACTTTTACAAAGGTAGACCACCCCAGAAACGTCGACTCAGCACACACACACAGCCTTCACTCTGTAAAGGTCAGCATGGCACGCGCTGGGTTCGCCTGTGACAACGGACGTACACCGGACAACGGGAACGTGATGTCTCAACCCGGGTGGGGTTTTCTGTTACCAGACCAGCTACCTAGAAGTTTGTTCCGGTCTGTTGACTTTGGTAACACCGAGGAAGACACTCCTTAGAGCGCACAACATCTCCTGAATCTTGCTATTGTACACATACCCGGGGTGATGTACGGATTCTGTTTGTTCCAAATGGGCAAATAACTCCCAAAGTCGGGGGTAGTTGGTACCCGGTTTGGTGTAAATAGTTCATAGTATTACTCTCATGGACGTAACACCGATTTCCCAGAGATGAATGAATCCTTTTCAAGTTTTGGCTTGGCTTGAACAAAAACCATCACGTTCAACTAGGATCCCCGAAAATGGGGAACGCGGGGAAGGGGGGCGGGGATGGTTAATTTTCTTAACTGTGACTAGGTTATGTGCGCCGCGCGGGAGGGGGTTAAGTTTCTTCACTGTGACTAGGTTTATGTGCGCCGCAGGGTGGGGGTAACTAGGTTATGTGTGCCATATAAAATGGCTTAGCGTTGCTCGCCACCAAGAAGCACTGCAAGGGTCTCTTGCAATGTTGATGCGATCACAGGAGACAGACCCAAATACTGTCCCGATCAGGCGACAAAGTCGTCTTCCGGCAGCCATTGGGAGACCCCGTCCGTGATGGTTTTTCAAGTTTCAGTTCGCCTGGCTTTTAAGGAACGGTCTGATAATAGTGGGAGGAGAAGTAAAGAATGTCAGGCTAATTCAGTACCTATCTACACTTAACTGCATGTTATTTGACCCATCTACACTGAACTGCATGTTATCTGACATCTACACTCAACAACAACATGTTATTTGACCTATATTCACTAAACTGCATGTTATTTGGCCTATCTACAATGAACTGCATGTTATTTGACCTATCTTCACTGAACTGCATGTTATCTCACTTGTCTACAATAAAAGCATGTTATTCTACACATCTACACTAAACTGCATGTTATTTGACCTATATTCACTGAACTGCATGTTATCTCACTTGTCTACAATAAAAGCATGTCATTTAACCCATCTACACTGAACTGGATGTTATTTGACCCATCTACACTGAACTGCATGTTATTTGACATATCTACACTGAACTGCATGTTATTTGACCCATCTACACTGAACTGCATGTTATTTGACCCATCTATACTGAACTGAATGTTATTTGACCCATCTACACTGAACTGCATGTTATTTGACATTTCTACACTGAACTGCATGTTATTTGACCCATCTAAACTGAACTGCATGTTATTTGGCCTATCTACAATGAACTGCATGTTATTTGACCTATCTACACTGAACTGCATGTTATTTAACGCATCTACACTGAACTGCATGTTATTTGACATATCTACACTGAACTGCATGTTTTTTGACCTATCTACACTGAACTGCATGTTATTTGACCTATTTACACTAAACTGCATGTTATTTTATATAACTGCATGATGCCCAAACTATAACTGTTGTTATACGTTTGAACAAGGTTTGTGGGATTTGCTCATGTTTTCCCCTAGTGGGTTTTGAGGTGTCATTTTATTTCTGACCCGTGCGGAGCGCAATTTTTCGTCCTTTTGAAAACCCTACACGGCTGTGGTCGGGGCGCTGATTATAATCCTACAGGTTGAACGTGGCTTCTGAGACCTGTCCCTGGGTGGTTCTCATCCGAACGGTGGCACTTTGTGTCACCAGTCGTTTATCGCTCGGTGTGATGTTCTAGTGGGTTAAACATCAGTCAGGCCAACGTAAAAAAAGTTTGGGGTGGAGGGAGGGAGAATCTCTAACTGTAATGTCGTACACCCCTGTCTGCATACAAATAAGTTATGTAAAACGGGTGTGCACGCTAAACTCATGTTCTTCTCTGTGTGGGTTCTGGGGCCCTATTGTGGAAGTCGGTGGGCAGTCTACATACAAATCAAAATTGTCCTGTTTCGTCCCAATGTGGAATGGAATGTTTCGTTATTTTGAAGCCCCACCCTGGCTTTTGCCGGCGGCCCTAAATATAACCGGGCCATTAATATGGCCTAACTGTTAAACGGGGTTTTAGGGACCTCTCCACGGGTGATCCTCATCCGCGTGGTGATACGTTGTGTCACTGAGTGTTTATCGCTTGTGTGATGTCCTGGTGGGGTATAACTTGCCTGCCTGCCTGCCTGCCTACCTCTACCTACCTACCTACCTACCTGCATTCAAATAATCCAGATCTGTTAAACGGATGTACACTCAAAATTTAGGTTTAGGATCAAGATTAAAGTACTGAAGTGGACAAAAAACGAAATTTCCGCCGCAGTTTACAGCCGGTGAACGCGAAAAAAGAAGAAAGAAGAACTTAAGTTCTGGAAAAATACCAAGTCTAGAACTGGACGAAACTTTGTTTTTGTTTAAAGGAAAGATTAAAAAAAAATTAAGTTGTCTTCTTTACATAAAACTGAGTATCGACTTCTTTTCTAATTGTGACTCTTCACTGACCTACAGTCACATACATGCCATTTTGATTATGATTTCACTTCTTTTCTGACAGATTCGCCGTTTCTATGGTTGCTACGACGCCGTATTAAATATCAACGGACAAGAAGTTCGCCACTGCAATTGGGTGAGGTTTGTGAAAAGTACCACCGATTCTGATACCGCAAATATAATCAGCTCCAAAGTCAAAGGTCAGTCTTTTTATCAAGTCATCAGGGCCATTAAACCAAACGAAGAAATCAAAGTATGGTTCCACCTTAATTTAGAAAGGGCATTATACGATAGACCGTCTTCGCTACCGTTTGCTTCATATTCCCCGTCTACGTGTCTGCCTCAATCTTATGTGGAGACATCGTTTGGTACTCAACCCCGTGACCTTAAATCCACTGTGATGACCTCAACCCCACTGCCCACAAACAGACATTCTTTTACTGAAGATCTTCGCAGTCAAAGACGGTTGTTAAACTTTGGATCCTCGTCGTCCTCATCGTCTTTCGCATCTCCCCAATTTGATTCTCCCAGCAACTATCTTAGTCAAAGAATCAATCCCCGCGAATCCAGCTTCACTTCACCAATGTGCTCTTCGAGTTCATCCAGACAGACGTCAAACAGCGACAAAAACTCAAGACATTCTACAGCAGATGGTTCTTTTCTGAAGGAAGTCAGCCCAACAGACAACGCATCAGCTGAAAGAGACACACCAGTTGTAGCGGTAGACAAAGAAGACGTCACTGGTGGAGTTTGTTTAGAGGAGAATCTGGAAAAAACTGACCAGCAGTGTTCTAACGATGATGGTCGATCCCAAGAGCTTGATGTGGATGTTGTCAGTGAGACAAACACAGATAGTAGTGAAGATGACTGTGAAGATCTGGATTCTGTGGCTGCAGGCAGTGACGACGAAGACGCTGCCAGTGGCAGTGATGTAAGCCGAACAGTAGAGGGTGAGTTTTCTTCATGGAATTTGTTAAGTGTAACAGGTATTATTGTTTCTGAGAATTCATCAGCTGCAAGAACTATACTGTTTAAAAGTATATTTGTTGTGCGTTTCGTTGTTCTAAATATTACTTGAACAAATCAGTATGCGCTATTTCTCTGCCTCCAAGAGAGGAACATCCACGAGTTCATGATTGTATTGACGTAATAAAGATATACAGGAGGGAACAAGTTAATATAGGGCCCCTTTCTACGCCTTCAGGCGTAGTAACTATATAGGGCAAGACCTATATTTGATAGACCAAATGGCACTTGGTGGGTTATGTGGTCAGCATCACGACGGCTACCTTTACTTCCGAAGACTGTACCTGGTACCCGGTACCCACTCAAGGCTGGGTCAACATGCAAGTGAAGTTAAAAAAGTCCGGCCTTTGTCAGGATCCGATCCCGCCACCTTTCGATCCGCTGGCGAGCGTCTAGCCATTAGACTTGGGGGGGGGGGGGGGGGGAGCAACATCTTTAGTACTAATTCCCCCACTCCATTTTTTCCCCGTAGATTCACTGCCCCCTTTCTCCCCCTTCCAATCTTGACAGCTCAGTTGTGGCAGGGTGGCTGTAAACCACAACCGAACTTACAGGAGTAGGAAAATAAGTAGGAAGAGAAGGAAGAAGAAGAGATAATAATGAGGATGATAACCGAAATTGTGGTGGGGGCGATGATAAAGGAGTAGGAGGAAAAGAAGAAAAGGAGAAACAAATAGAAAAAGACAAGAAAAAAAAAAGGAAAAAAGATTGTTGTGGTTTTTAAGAAAAAAAGATGAAGAAATAAAGTTAATGAAAACAAATACTTACAATCTTTATGATATTCTAAACTCCAGGACACAAAGATACACCCACCTCCCTTTCCTCTCAGATGCACCCGTCTCAGCCATCTGGACATTTACCAGATCACCCAACCTCCCCTTCAAAGCTCTTCCCTCAAGCACCGGAGCTTCTAAAGACGTCCTCGCCTTATCCTGGTAGACCCCAGCTTGATGTCAAACAGGAAGAGGACATCAGTGCAGAACCACAACGACCAGTTTCACCGACATGCAACAAGGTACCAACAACGTTTGTTGAGACTCAACCGCCTACAGCGACAGTCACAGAAAACCAAATCCCAGTTCTTCGTGCCCAGTACCAAGACATCTCTTCTGATGAGAAAGATCACTTCTCTTCTCCGAATGAAGCCAGACCATTGTCTTATATGGTAAGTATCTTAGTATCTACTCCTTCAGCACCAGGGAATTAATTGGTGTACACTTTTCATAATACATATTTTCTTCGTGCGGGTTCCGCTGCCCTATTTGTGGGGGGGGGGGGGGGGAACAAGAATATACCCAGTAACTCCCCAATAAACATGTCGTAATCGGGGTTTTCCTTCCAAGTCGGAGTGCATCTGCCTGAGAGGCAAGGAATCGACAGTCTGCATAATAAAAAAGTCAAGATCTGTAAAACGGATGTGCACGCAGTACTAAGGTTATGGAACACGTCTTAAGTCCAGTGCAAAGGTGGATGAACAACCTGGACTTTCCACAGATGAACGCGCAGAAGAAGAATTCATGTTTCTTCTTATTCCCTGACCTACTTTTTTTTTTATATTTAACCCTTTGCACTTCAGCTGGACTGCAACTGCAACGCTGTATTATATTAAAGTTCGATGAGACTAAACATAAACATGGTTGTGTTAAGATAAGATACGAACAGCACTAGCAGTAATATGGTTAATCATCCTTGCAATTGTTTTGTCGTTTTCTGGAGGAAAGCACTTTTTGCTGTGTTACCGTGTCACTGACATTTCACATTTTAGCCGCATGTCTCCCTTGTTAGGCTCTGAAGCCCTATTAGGGAGAAAGCAGGGAGAATAGACAGATTGCCCCCCCCCCCTCCCTTTTTTAAATCCTATAAGTATGTCGTGAAAGATGACAAATTAATAATTTGCTGAAATTGAATTTGTTGGGCTGACAGATGCAGATATCACATCCTAGCTGTAAACCCCAACACAATGTGCCAAGGCAGACGGAGAAGACACAGTGACATTTCATATCTGAAGTAGCTGTTCTCACAAGTACGACGTAGTGTCTGTATAAATTCGCGCTTAAAACAATAGTATCATATCCACATGTTGGAAAATGTTTTTAGAATCTGAAGCAGGTCAATGATAACACTAGGAGAAAGAAGGGTATAAAGCAACTACTGAAGCCCAGTAGTCCTAGTCCAAGTCCTTTTGAGAAGAAAAATTAAAAGGTCGACCACTTTCAGACTGCTGCTAGCTAGCCGAGGCTGCTAACAGTCTCCGCCTATATTTGTGGTCTGGGTTATTTGCGTCACTTTCGTGACTAAATTGGAGTATTTGCGCCCTTTCTGGGCTTGATGCTTCCATCCGGTTCAGACCGCTCGTCCTCCACCCTCTTGTTACTTGTGCATGTCTTTCCTCTTCTTACTTAGTGTTTCCTGTTTGTCTCCCTTTGAATTGGCCAGGCGTATTTCGTAGGAGAGGGAGCTTTTCTACATAACGTCCTTTGGACTACCATATACAGTTTTATAATTTTTAGTATTTTATTTTGCCAAAAAGTACTGAAAACAGTTTTTGATTTTGGATAGTTCCGAAATGTGAAAATATTTCGCGTGCGACCATAGAGGTCTTGTAGTTGTCTTCCTGTAAAAAGAATGGGTTAGTCATGCCGTGGATATAGCCCAGTAAATTAACATCATCCCTAAATAGAGACAGAAGGTAAAGAGTTGAATATAAAATGATCTCATCAAACGCAGCGGGAGACGCTTGGGAATGAATGAGTTTGATTTAACGGTTCGATCTTCCTTTCTCTGATCCAGCTACCGCCAAGCCCCAGATCAGTGAGGTCCTTAGACCTCCACAACCATGCTGAAGGCTTCGACAACCCTCACCTGAAGCGATGCCGGGAACGCACCTGGTGGCCGTGTGAAGTTTGCGGGAAGAAATTCGACAGACCTTCCCTGCTGAAACGTCACACCAGAACTCACACAGGTGAGTGTACCCCTCATGGATCTCAATCCGTGTATCTATTTGTACATACTTCCCTCTCTCTCTTCTCTCTCTCTCTCTCTCTCTCTCTCTCTCTCTCTCTCTCTCTCTCTCTCTTTTTCTCTCTCTCTCTGTTGGTGTGTGTGAATGATTGGGTTGATACTATTACGACCACTAATGTCCCAGATTGCTGCTGCTGCTACTACTGTTACAGCTACTACCGCTACAACTACTACTTCTGCTGTTACTACTACTGCTACTACTAGTGCTGCTGCTGATGGTGCTGCTACTACTACTCCATTTCTATGTTACTTTTTCTTTGGATGTGTGTGTATGCGTGTGTGTGGGGGGGGTGGTGGTGGATGTAATCGCCAGGCTAAAAGCGGGATCAGGTGATTGCAAACAGGCTAAATTAGGGTTTAGGTAATTGCAAACAGGCTAAATGACATATCAGATGATTGCGAACAGGCTATATGATTATTTTTAACTTTTGTTATCTGAATTCATGGGTCCAGCACCATATGTTTGATCACTGAAAAGCTCGAAAAGGATCCATTGTCTTAAAACCTCATACCCCATGATCTTTTTTTTTTCCAGGTGTTAATGAATCATTTATTGATTTAGTAAAAATGTTGCAATAATTTAACTGGAAGCGACAATCTGTTAATTAAAAAACTAACTCAATGTCTTTGATTCCCAGGAGAGAAACCCCACGCATGTGATGTCTGTGGGAAAGCCTTCTCTACGTCCTCGTCTCTGAACACACACAAACGTATCCACTCTGGAGAGAAGCCACACCAGTGTAAGATCTGCGGGAAACGATTCACCGCCAGCTCCAACCTCTATTACCACAGGATGACTCACAATAAGGTAACTGCTCATTGGTCATTACGGGATAAGCAGTCGCCTAGGGGACCTAACACCAACACAGTTTTATCTAATATTTCTGAGTTACGACCCTTGCTGCTCACATAATTTTTCCCTTTACGGACAGTATTTTTGATAATCATACACGTGTTAGAGATTCAAATAGCCAGACAGATATGAGATTCCTCTCAAAGACACTTCGGTTAAGGGATTTTTAGTATTCTTGATGCATGCTCTTTAGCTGCAACATTCATTTTTGTTTGTGATAACCTTAAGCTTACTGGTTCTACTTTTTATTATATTGTTCATCGAGTCACATATGTCCAGACTACCACCATTTAGTGCTCCAAAGAGAGCCTGTGACTTGGGGAACAAGCTCCAGAGGGTGATCACCCAAACCACGGATAGATGGAATATCTGAAGCCATAAATACCAGCATCTACATAGCATATATTTAGCTCTCATCGAATGTTTCTTCAAAACCTGACTATGAAAGGCAGAACTGGACCAGGAAAGAGGACGAAGAAGAAATAAAAAGAGGAGAAGAATAAGAAGAAATAGAAGAAGAAGAAAAAATAGAAGAAGAAAAAATAGAAGAAAAGAAGAAACAGAAGAAAAAGAAGCCAAAAAAAGCTGAAGGAGTAGAAGAAGGAAGAGAAGAAGGAAAAAGAAGAAGAAGTAGAAGAAAAAAAAAGTAGGAGAAGAAAAAGAAGTAGGAGAAGAAAAAGAAGTAGGAAGAAAGAGGTCACACACCTATGTGCTGGGATCTTCGAAGGAAGGAAGTTCTTTAGTGTTTACACTGGCCGACCCCTTCTGTTAGTTGGTGTAGACACCGTGCTGTTAAAACCGTCCTATATATGCATTAGCAGACAGCAGAAAAGTGTTTTGAGTGTGCTACGGGAACATTTAGCATCTACACATTTGCAACGGGAGATGCATCTTCTATGGGTATGCCTGATCACAGCCGGGCTGCATCTTTTAATTCTAGAGAAGGCGGTGGCCCCATAAGCTATCATTATATCGATTCCTAAATCTGTGATTAGTTTCGGTTCTTTATTACTATCCTACTCCCAGATGAGGTCACATGACAGTCCAACATTTAAGAGGGTGGTAGGACTGGGTTTCGCGGCTTTCTGGTGCTTTTAACGACCCCAAAAACAGCTAGAATTGGCCCTAACCCCCAACCCACCTACGTCTCACGAGAGAGTGGAGCCTAGGTCCCGCGACTCATGCAGCCTATCTACCACACCCCCCCCCCCCCGAAATATTAGACTGTTCGGTGATCTGTGGATTTCCCATGTTTAGGGTAGGATATTAATATAGCACCTTAGTTTCTTCTGAACAAAACTACTTTTATTAAATATCAGTAAACGTTTGCAACAGGTATGTGAGTCACTTTTCTTCCATGTTGCCATATTCATAACTTGTAGAAAGAGTTCTCTTAAAGTTTACCTTCCTACGTTCACAGGAGAAACCACACAAATGTGACCTCTGCGCCAAGTCTTTCCCGACCCCGGGAGATCTTCGTTCTCACATGTACATCCACAACGGGTCATGGCCGTTCAGGTGTGAAGTCTGTAACAGGGGATTCAGCAAGCAGACGAATCTCAAGAACCACATGCTTCTTCATTCAGGTAAGGGCGGAGTTATGTGTTTGGAAAAAAAAGCATAGTGGTCCCATTTCGGGGAGAACCACAATACCTCCCCTACAAGCATGTCGTGAGAGTCGACTAATTGAGTAGCTTTCTTCACAGTAGAAGTGCCTCTGCCTGAGAAGCGAGGAACCAACAGTCTGTATACAAATAAGCAAGATCTGTAAAACGGTTGCACACCCAAAACTCAAGTCCTGGGACAAAGCCAGTGTCCAAAAATGGACGAGCAACCAAGTCATTTTGCAAGGGATTTACAGCCGGTGAAGGCAAACCACCTATTTAAATACTTTAAAAAAAAATAAAACATCATTAATACGAATTAACACTTGAATAAGAGTCAGTTAACGTGAACAAAATGTGGACCCAAGCAGTGATATATTGTCTCTGGTTAGCATGGATGTTTGTAACGCAAACTCTTGATTTTTCGGTCGCTTTAAAGTTGTGTGAACGAGATGGTACTGTAGTTAAAGCAAACACTGTTGAGTTCAGTAATATCCCTTTGGTGCCTACCCAGCATGCAAAGTTTGGATTGGACAGACTGTGCGGATGAAACCCCCATTAGCTTAATGGACAAAAAAGGCAACTGCTAGCAAGCTTAGTGGAGAGCCTTGAGCACGGCAAGGCAAGGCACCTGGTCATCCATTGTACACGAGTTCATCTCCATACGTCTGGATTCGTCTTGAGATGGACATAGGCGAGAGAGTGAGGTCGACAAACTTCGCAACTCTTCCTCGCTTAAAAAATCAAAATCACCGCGCAAGTCATTTCACCCCTCCCTCCCTCCAATGAATGAAAGGACAGGTTATAATCACATGTGATAGACAACAATAAACTGCTTGGTAGTGAAATAGTTAAGCTTGTTGGTGTTGACAGAAATGTCTTCAGCCCCTTTCATTCTTTTTTGGTCCCAAGAAATCATTTATCTAACCTTTTCTGTTCCAAAGAGTTGAGCCTAAAAGCAATAAACACTAAGGTCTTTAGAGTTAAAAGGAGATACCATAGGACAGCAGCAGTTAAACTAATAATTCAGATATAAAGAGTGAATAAAACAACTACCCCTGATAGAAAGCAACAAGAACATTATAGTATCTTTGAAAAACCAAGATATGTTTGGCGAGCTGCTTCGTAGTGACAGATTATTGCGGTAGTTATAAAATAGAAGGGTGAAAAAACACGCAGGTTCCCATTTATTCCTTCCCTATGTTTGTTCCTGTGCCCCCTGTCTCTTGGGGAAAAGATAGATGCATGCCTCTATAGCAAGCATGTCTTAAAAGACGACAAATTAAGGATTTGACCTCTAAATATAAAGCGTCTCTGCCTGAAAGAGGTCAGGAACCACCACTCTGCACACAAGTAAGCTGCCAGATTCATAAAACAGGCACGCACGCATAATTTAGGTTCTGGAACAAAGTCCTGTAGTGGGTTTACAACCAAAACTTTCTATCAGAGTTTACTGCTCGTGAACTCAAAGAAAAAGGAAATATTTTTTCTCATGCGTGATTTCTAAGTGATAACATGGGCATGCTTAAGCAGATCCTTTTCTTCTGTTTTCCTCGATCCTTCTGTCAGAAAACTTATATAGGAGGCCTTTATGAAAGCTATCGTGCAGTCCATATCCTCTAGTGTACGAAACAACTTTGTCTTCATTGAGGTTGGAACAGGCCAGACTGCGTCTCTGTTGTCAGCATACAGTTGACAGTGTTGGAGCACATGCTCAGCATTTTCGGGTGCCACGCTGCAGGGACACGTCTCCGTATTTCCTACACCGAGAAATGTGAACATATGTTGACGAAGTCTGTTGTGCCCAGTCCTTAGTCTGAATATAATACACTGTCCCTCTCTAGAGAGGCGATGAAGCCAGTCTCGGGAAGAGAATCTGGTGTGTATTCATGTTTTTGTCTCTTGGTGGGTTATATCGCTATTTGGTTGTATCATATCCCTGTCGCTTCTGACAAGTCTGTCTGCTATTTCACAGCAGATCCTGATCGGATGGATTCAAAGACAAAGATTCGAGTCTGGGGTAAGAGAAAAAAAAAAAGAGCAGATTAGCATGCTGGTAGGTAGGGCTAAAGTGGGTACAGGACAAGCAATGGACAGGCCGATGTTCTCAGTGCTTTCAAAGAGGCAGGACGATGGTATGATTCAGTAGACGATTGTGAATATGCAACATTAAAGCCACCACAAAAACTTGCAGATCAAAAGAGGTATTGCCAGGCATAAATACTATACAGGTAGCCAAAAATGTTTGATTAGTTAACTAACACAGAACTGGCGTTTTCAGTCGTCACATTCTGAGGGATATACTTGACATGCACTTTTCTGTTATCATCATCATGTGCTTTGCTTACTGGCGTAGGCGCTCATGCGCCTCCACAGATAGCGATCCCTAGTTGCCTGGAACAGCTCTCTTGATGATATCCCTCCATGCCATCGTTTCAGCCCATCCAGCATCGTCTCTTGGTCTGCCTCTTCTCCCTTTTCCACTGATTTTTCCGGTTGTCACTATGTTCTCCAATGTCTCTCTTCTCCTTACGTGTCCGTCGTGCGATGAGAATAATCAATTAGTCGATTAGCTAACCAACTAAACTCTGCGTTATAGATATTTATTGAACTGTATGTTTTATGTTTGTTCCCAGGGAACAAGCCACATGAATGTTCCCGGTGTGGAAAGAAGTTTGCTCTGTTGTGTAACCTAAAGACCCACGTAAAGACACATGAGAGTAAGCACCCTTTTTGTTTATGTACAGCAATGACCTGTGATGTTTTTGTACGCTAACTTTGTTTTATTGTTTGATTTTTGCATACACTCTGCAGTCTTTGTATATGTTCTATATAATTTCTACTTGTTTTTAAAAATGTCTTCTGCTGCTTTTGTACACCCGCTCCCCACCCTCTGGTTTTAGACATTCTTTGCTTTTTTTTCCTGTTAAAAAAAAATACACTTTGTTATTTTTGTGTTTTCTGCCGTTTTATAGGTTTTCTGCAGTTATATACGTTTCCTGCTGTTTTATACTTTTTCGGTTGCTGTTAACCGTTTCTCCCTATACTGCATGTTTCCAGTTTTGTTTTGGTTATCGCCTATTTTGTGCATGCTCCCTCTTGTTTGTATCCTGCTGTTCATTTTTGTTCTGTAATGTAATTATGCTATTGACAGGTACACAGCTCAATGGGTTAAATAGAGGCAGGATACAAGAGAACAACTTGCAATATTCATTTTTAAGGCAGCAATCGGTAAGACATGAACTGACGATATAATATAACAAGGCCCTATTATAGGGGAGAGAGGAGAATAGACCCACTACCTACCGAAAAGCATGTCGTCGACTAACTGGGAGCTTAATTCGAGGTCTATCTGCCTGAGAGGCTAGGAACCAGCAGTCTTCATACAAATAAGTTAGATCTGTAAAAGTGAATGAACAACTAGAACTTTCCGCCAGAGTTAACAGCTGGTGGACGTAAAGAAGAAGAAGTATATAACACTAAATTAAACTGGAATTTGTTTTGTATTTCAGATTCTGACCTCAGTGACTGCGTAGAGTGTTTAAAATGTGGCACAGCCATGGATGTCTCTGACGACCAGGAAACCATCTGCAAACTCTGCTCTAGTGATTCCCATCAGCCCAGTTCCAAACCACCTCCTTCAAAGAAACGCCACACAGACTTCAGCATATCCAGACTAACCTGCCCTGATGTCAAAGACAAAGATGTGCGAGACAAACCCCAAGGCTTCGTTATGCAATCAGGTTCCTCACATACAAACATGCAAACACTGGGTTTTGTCAATTCTGCACCAGCGTTCTTAAACTCGCCATCTGTGACGTCTCAACAACTTCAAATGTCCGCAATCTACAGACAGTTTTTCCAGACAGCCCATGACCATCAGAACTGGCTAGTACCCCCATCACCCCAGATGCTCGCCACGCAGTTTCTTCCCGCGATGATGAAGCACCCGATGACATTTCAAGGAAGTGCCAAGAACGGACACGAACAGCCGTCATTGCCTTCAGTTGCCCACAGTGGGATTCCATTATTTGTAGGGTCAAATATGTTGTCTCTACCAGGTGGAACTCTCTTCCCATCTGTTGGAAGTGGTCCGGTCAACTTTTCAGTACACGGATCGTCTACTTTAGGAGGCCATGTCATGACACAAGGATTTTGACACCTTCTTCGTTAGTCCCAGTGGTATTTGTTTGGGAATAATTGCGTTGTATTTGTTTACAGCATAGCTGCGATACTTTTGGCTTTATGGTGTGTCCACATATTAGACTTAAGCGCCATTTATTTCTCTGGTTAACCTTCTTGATTGCATGACCTCATGGTTGTGCCGTCATCTTTGTCCCTAAGCCATACTTAGTGATTCCGGTGGACCTACCTAGAACAACCGCCTGCATAAAGAGTCGCCCTCAATGAAAGGCAGTTGAAGAACAAAAACATACAATATTATCTAATGAGAGTGTGCGGGTCGTATCGAGTGTTATCACGGGGATGGGTTGGGAGGGGGGGGGGGGTGTTCGGACAAGGTGGCAAAATGTTTTTTTTTAAACATGGAAAGTGTAGGGAGAGTCAGAACGTTTTCTACACCGGGTATCACCTGATATTACAGTACAGCTGTATCCAATGTTCTTCTGTAAAAAGCAAAGAGTGACATATGACTATCTAGAACTGAGCTTCCCCCCCCCCCCTTTCCCCCCGAAAAAAACTTCACTTTCTAGCTTTGTGTATGAAAGGCTTCTACCCCCCTTCCCACCCCCTCTCGGCTTTCCCACAGAGGTCCCAGTCAGTGTGTTCTCTACTGATCTCCCCGTGTGGTTTCCTGGGGCAGGGAGATGGGGAAAATAGACTCACTACAAGAGTGGCTCGGGAAAATAGACTCACTACAACAGTGGCTCGGGAAAATAGACTCACTACAACAGTGGCTCGGGAAAATAGACTCACTACAACAGTGGCTCGGGAAAATAGACTCACTACAACAGTGGCTCTCAACCTTCCTAATGCCACGACCCTTTGATACAGTTCCTCATGCTGTGGCGAACCCCTCTCAACCTTCCTAATGCCACGACCCTTTGATACAGTTCCTCATGATGTGGCGAACCCCAACCATAAAATTACGTTTGTTGCTACTTCCTAACTTCAGTGAATATGTGTTTTCCGATGGTCTTATGCGACCCCTGTGAAAAGGTCGTTGGACCCACAATAGGGTCGCGACCTATAGATTGAGAACAGCTGTAGAAGGGCTTTGCTAAAAACAGATAGGGGGGGGGGGGGCAGGGAATCTACATCACTCGCCAGAATGGCAGACTTGGGAATTTAGATAGGCATAGCAAAAAACAGACGCACACCAGACACACCAGAAGACTTGTTAATGGAACTGGTACTATAAGCCATCAGACGTTGGGGTTCATACTGAGGGGAGGTTCTGAGCACCTATGGATATGTCCGGAGTGCAATGATGATAACCCAACTAACTAGCTAACTAACTAGATTTGAGTCAATAGGAGCAGGTGCTGTGAACCTCCTTACAGCGTGATAACAGCTCTTACAGAAGAAGGTGTTAATTCGCACATAAAAATACGAAAACTTACATAGTTGACTTGGCTCTGGTGGAAGGTATGGTAAAGGTGAGCGGATCGACATCGGGTTGAATCCCATATGGCTTGGTCTCTCTCCGCAAAACAGTTAGCTGCCGACTGAGAGCTTCGCACAAAGCACGACCTTCGTAGCTCCAGCAACGATGCCCCAAATTTTTTTTTAAATGGCACTCTTGAACTGAATGCTGTGAAACGAACCCATGACCTTTAGAGCGCGAGGAAAACGGCTTGACCACTACGCCACGGAGATATAGTATTTGTCTCTGTGTTTACCCGGGCAACTGACTCTTTATGTGTGTGGTTTCCCGTTAGGATGCTATTTCTGCCCTTTTGTCCGATCACTTTGTCATATTTGATCCCATGCTTGTTGGTTTGTGAATCTATACTTTTGTGTGTGTTCCCCCTTTCAGCTGAGACTAAGGAACCTATAGGCATATGCGAAGCTTGAGAGAAACAATACAACTAATCTGATGTACTTACTATCAGATGGGGAACCATAAGCATATACGTTTTACGGTGTAGTACACATACACATAATAATGCTGATGACATACACATCAGTTGCTATGGCTGGCCCAGTACTGGACAGAGGTGATGTTATCAATGCCATGCGCTGCACTTACCGTACCGAGGAGCACGCCAAAGGACATGACTCCATATCCCTGTCTAGACTGATGGACATGGGAGTGCAGCCTTGAGCTGCTAGAAATTGAACATTTCACTAAGAGGCGTTTCATTAACCAACACAGAACAGGCATCATTAGTCGTTTTACACTTGTGGAGCTTTTAAGGAGGAGATCGGAGCACCTATGGATCTGTCTGGAGTGCTGTGATGATACTCCTTTCTAATCACTGACATATAATGTTGTCATGAAGTGTTCAACAATAACGCACATATGTTTAGCGGTTGTCACAAGTTTCAGATTTCTAAGTATTGATTTGTATGCATCCACTTTCAGCCGTTATCTTCTGAAATATTTCACAAACATTCCATATATCCTATATATGTGAATGTAAAGTTATTAGTTTTCATTTAATATGTATATTACATTAATAGTTTTCCCATGTTCTTGTTTGTGCTTAAAATATATAGCTATGTTATAATGTATATTGTGTTAATACTCAATAATTGTGACTTCCCAGATATGACTTTAACAGTCCACATATAATACAATAAATAACATTTTACGCTACCTACACATACATCTACATATTATTATTGATTTGTATGCATCCACTGTCAGGCTTTATCTTCAGACAAATATTTCACAATTCCATATATCCTATATATGTGTGAATGTAAAGTTATTACCTTTCATTTAATATGTATATTACATTAATAGTTTTCCCATGTTCTTGTATGTGCTTAAAATAGATCTAATATTTGGGCTATGTTATAATGTATATTGTGTAAATACTCAATAATTGTGACTTCACAGATATGACTTTAACAGTCCACATATAATACAATAAATAACATTTCACGCTACATACACATACATCTACATATTATTATTGATTTGTATGCATCCACTTTCAGGCTTTATCTTCAGACAAATATTTCACAAAACATTCCATATATCCTATATATAAGTGAATGTAAAGTTATTAGTTTTAATTTAATATGTATATTACATTAATAGTTTTTCAATGTTTTTGTATGTTCTCAAAATAGATCTAATATTTGACCTATGGTTTGTTATAATGTATATTGTGTAAATACTCTATAAGTGTGACTTCACAAATAGGACTTTGATTTACACTCTACATATGATACAATAAATAACATTTCACGCTACATACACATACATCTACATGTTATTTTGATCATCTATATATTAATCTGATGCCGTCCTAAAATAACGATAGTAACTTTAGAAAGGCTTTTCTAATTATTTAATTAACGATTCTATTGTTCACTTTTGTGACGTCACATTAAACATGTTGGTATTCAGTGCCTGGTTATGTATTTCATTTATGTTCAGTCGTTATTTTTTTTGCATTCATTTGTAGTTTGTATTTCTGCAGACAAATGCTTTAACTCTTTTCTGTCTCTAGCGGTTGTTACCTTCTATCCCAAACAGGGGCAGTGCCACGAAGAAATCCTCACCGGGGGTGGGGGGGGGGCAGCTCTTTTAACTTTTTAGGTGCTTAAGCCCCATCTAAGATTGTCATGAGGGTGGGTTCAAGGTGCCTAATCAAGCTCGTAAAAATAATAATAATAATAATTTGTGTGTGCTGAGTGGCAAATTAATATACAAATAGGTCCTATTCACGTTTCCCAGCCCACATTATTTTTCAGTCTAGTCTAGGTCAGAGGGGTATCACGTTGTACTATTTTCTTCGAAAAGTTTCTCGAGACCTGGGCTCAGGCTGTGAGTAGGGAGGGTGGGTTTGGGTTAGGTGTGATCTTCTATATTATCTTCGAAAAGTTTCTCGTGAGACCGGGGCTCAGGCTGTGAGTAGGGAGGGTGGGTTTGGGTTAGGTGTGATCTTCTATATTATCTTCGAAAAGTTTCTCGTGAGACCGGGGCTCAGGCTGTGAGTAGGGAGGGTGGGTTTGGGTTAGGTGTGATCTTCTATATTATCTTCGAAAAGTTTCTCGTGAGACCGGGGCTCAGGCTGTGAGTAGGGAGGGTGGGTTTGGGTTAGGTGTGATCTTCTATATTATCTTCGAAAAGTTTCTCGTGAGACCGGGGCTCAGGCTGTGAGTAGGGAGGGTGGGTTTGGGTTAGGTGTGATCTTCTATATTATCTTCGAAAAGTTTCTCGTGAGACCGGGGCTCAGGCTGTGAGTAGGGAGGGAGGGGTGGGTCTGGGTTAGGTTATATTTTAGCGTAATTTTCTAGCGCAGCGGTTCTCAACCTATGGATCGCGGTCCGCCCCCTTTTTTTTTAAGTCGAACGATCCTTTCACACTTGTCGACAAAGACCATGGCAAAGATCCTCTAGCATGATCCATCAGTCAGTTTGTCCCTTCCTGGTTGCTACCGAAGGCTTTACCTACCATCCTGCGAATTAAAAAAATCAATTTTAATGGGAGTCTGAGGCAGATCTTTAAAAAAAAACCGTTAGCGTCCGTGGCATAGGCACTGCAAACGCGCTTCGCAATGCCAAAGTGCCGGGTTTGATCCCAACTGCAGACGATTTGTCTTGCGTTGGTTTCGATAGTGGTACTGAGAGGTGTCCATTCATAAAACAATGCCAAACTATTGAACGTAAAATTTGCCTACAAAAGCCAAAAAATACTGGGGTTGTTTGGTTCTGTTGTAAAGGAAAGACAACTAACACAATCACTCTGTTCAGCCACCGAAGAAATTGGCTGTAGTACCTGTCATGCCTACATCGGCCAGGTGTAAGCTGTAGGATGTTCGTAGTCTTCTTCTTTGCGTTTACCGGCTGTAAGCTCCCGAGGAAAGTTTAGGTTCTTCGTCCACCTATGGACTTTAGTCTTGTTCCAGAACGTAAAATATGTTGTGTGTTTTGATGTAGACTGTTAGTTCCTTGCCTCTTACGCAGACGTACTCGGGACTTCAAAGGAAGTTCTCAATTAGCGTTTGCTCGATTGTTAAGGAGGAAGTGGGTCTATGCTTTTTTTTCTCCCACAATGAGACCCCGGAATGCACACGAAGAACTATTTGTAGGACTGAATTCTTCTTTCTGCTTCCCACTTTTATCCCCCAACAGAGCATAGGCCCTCAACAAACTCACGCAAAGTCATGCTGTCCTTCGCTATCGCAAGCATATCTCCCCATCAGTTTAGCTTCATGCTCTAGGTTCCTCCGCCTGTGTATTTTTTTATCTTCTTTTTCTAAGCCCCGGTGGATTTGAGTGCAATGACAATCTCGTTGTATTGTAGTTATATTTTAGTATAAGCCCTACCCTAAATATCAGTCCGCCAGTCAGAGAGGCGTTCGGCAGTTCAAACACACCAAGGACATATTGAATTATTGTGTCAAAGGAAGATGAGATGGCTGTAACAAAAGTTAGTTGCGTATCCTTTACATGACGTTGCAGAACCAAAACCCAGCATTTTTTGGCTGTTGTGGTTTTTCTGGGCGAAATTTACATCCAGTAGTTTGCCATTGCGTACTGGATGGTCGGCTTCTCGATACCACTGTCGAAACCAGCACAAGACCTGCAGCTGGGATCGAACCCGACAACCCGGCATTATGAAGCTGGTTCACAACGCCTAAGGAGATGGCTGTATTAGTTTTAAAAACGAGTAGGACATTGTAGGAAAGAGAAGAAAATGTTAAGAAGGAACAAATAGTTTATGTTGGCTTTACAAAATCAATTATAATGTGCAAAGAATGGACGTTGCAGCGATTAGCCTTCGTCAGCAATTAAAGACAACACAGCACAAATACAAATATACACTAACTATGAAATGGCTACATTACAATATTATTTACACGACTAAGACAAAATACTAATAATCTACAGGCTTATACTAAGTAAATAATACTTATCTAGGTCGCTGATAAAGCTCTGAGAGTACTAAATAGACATAGAACTATAGTAAAGTAAAATAAAAGTAAAGATCCCTTTTCACGCCTTTAGGCGCATCGGGTGTTTTGGGAAGAGCACCGTCGGCACTAGGTGGGTAATGTGGTCAGCATTACGCCGACCCTCTTACACCTAAAGCTGTGGTTAAAATAAATATTATTACTTTTGAATAATTTAGTTTTTTTGTGAAGGAAAGAATGACATCACCGAAGGGACGTCGGGGTTGGGGGGGGGGGGGGGGGGAGGACCTTAATTTAGCCTCTGGAGCTACTATTAATATAACAGATACATAAAAAGAAAAAATAATGCAAGACTTGGTCTAAATTTCGACAAGACACGACAGTTGCCGTCTTTGTACGTGATTTAATATGAGCTCAATGCTTGCATTATTTCACATATTGTTAATTAGCGCCATCTTTCCGACAATGTAATAAAAGTGCGATGCAGTAAAGCAATTTAACCGGCGCAGAGTATCCGAAAATCGAGATCTCCAAGCTTTCTTCTGGCACTCAATGAGCTCTCCGTAGGACAGGTCAGGGCATTGTGCTCCGACCCACTCCAGAAAGTGGGCCTGGCGCCCCTAGACTTCCCTGAATGGCTCTCAGATTTGTGGATCTATTGAATAACTCCAGCTCAAAGGAAGTAACTACAATTTAATTAAAGGTCACGTGGCGGACGCAGAGTCGCGGGCGATGCATTGTGGAACTTTACGCACTATTTCGTTGATCGGAGTAATTGGCCGAAGAACATCTGTGTGGCTTGGTAACGAGAATATTACCGCGGTCAAAGGTCAAGTGCAAGTAATATGGCGGCTATTTGGGGGATTACGGAAGGGACATTTTGGGAGAAATATGATGAAAAATGGGACAAGTGGAGGGTGTGAGGACGAGAAGTGAGGGTGTTACAAGTGGCAAAGGTGTGATTTCTGAAATCTTAAGCAGGGCTGGCTGCTTTCTTTTAAGACATGGCTTCGCCTTGTGTTGTTTTCTATGACTGTGGGGTCCGTTTCTCCCGATGTTGAAGGGCTTCCCCAGTTGTCACTTTTCGTTAGCACGTCATTCCAGGTTGTTGGAGATCCATTGTTGGTGGATGCATTACATGGTCCAGGGGTTGGTTTTGACTGCAAGGTCGCACTCCTTAACTTTTTCTATCACAAACGGTAGCTACTTTTAGACTCCTGTGTGGGTTATGGGACGCCTTTGGGGGCAGGTGAAGGGGTGGGGGTGGGGGTAAAACCCACGTCTCCTCAACAAGCATGTCGTATAAGGCTAGTAACTAAGTATTTGCTGAAATGGAACGTGTCATTTGATCTCGGTTTTTTCTTTGCGACAGTCTACTTTCCAGTACACAGACTCTAGATACATTTGAAAAAAAAAAAAAAAGGCTTCCTTCTTCTGCGTTCATCCGAAGATGTAATTGCGTTGTGTCCGTTTACAGCATGGCTGCGATATTTGCACCTTTCTGCCAACACATCTGACTTCTGCGAGCATTTGTTGACCGGGTT